TGGCGGTGGTTGTTCGATAACGTTGGTGTCATGACTTGCCGCAGCCAGGATCATTGTTCCCGTGGCGACGCCGCTCTCAACACAAGCATGCAGAGCGCACACAACACACTCTAGTCTAGACCTTACACATGCATTGTACATACTTCACAGAAGGGTTTGCACTGCGATTCTAGAACGGAGACGAGTGAACTTTCCGACGGGCTTGTCCTCGGCGTCCTTAGGCCGCTGCCACCTGTGACAGCTGACGGCGGCTATAATGATGTAGACTGACCACCCTATCACACCCATCCAGCTGCCCACCATGCCGACCATTAGCGTCTGCTTGAAGTGGTACGGGTGGCCCGTGCTCGTGTCTGGCTGGTTGAAGATGTACACTTCCGACGGGCTGCGGGCGGGAGCATGCCAACAAGACAGATATACACAGGTGATCACTGATTAGCTGAGCAGGCAAGCAAGAGGAGTACCATAGAACTCCCCTCAGTATCCGGGCATGTTGGGACCGGGCAATACCCCAATACCCGTTGTTTCAGGGTAAACAATGGCCAAGTGAGAATATAATCCTATCGTAAACAACTAACTTGTTTACCCCGAAACACCCGTGACTAGGAAATCATATCTACAACTCAGCGGCGGATCCAGCGATCTCTAAGGGGGGGGGGGGGGGGGGAGGGATTCCAGGATAGTCACAACTGAATCAGTAGCTGATACATGTGCATGTACACGCATGTGGTTGCCAGTAGTACCTTTACGAAATTTTGGGGTTCCGCGGAACCCCTGAAACCCCTCCTGGATCCGCCCCTGCAACTCAGAACACAATATACTGATATGGCACAGAACAACAACTGGGCAAGCCGGCTAGTTTTTGCTGCTGCATGATGATTGCCAGCATGAAACTCAGAGTAGCGACTACCTCCTAGCCTTACCCTTTGTTGCCCTGTGTGCTACACTCTGCCTCCGCAGTATTGAGCACTTTCAGCACACTCGGTGCATCCTCCAGTGCGTATACGTGTACTGCACGCAAGTAAACACGTTTGATGACCACCATCTTTGGGGCCAGTTTTCATTGCAAAGCGGCCGATTCTTGTCCTACTCTAAGAGGGATAAAAGTGATGGCGGGTAGACAGGAATGCCCGGACTTGTAGTAAAAGTGATGGCGGGTAGACAGGAATGCCCGGACTTGTAGTAAAAGTGATGGCGGGTAGACAGGAATGCCCGGACTTGTAGGAACTGGTTTACTGTACAGTGTACTACACAACAGCGTGAAGCACACAAAGAGATGCAGGAAACCAAAATCACGCTCGGATCAACCGCCGGGAGGATTGCCATACCGAGAGCACTGCTTGCAGCAGAACTGATTGTACGGGGCTGGATACAGCACTTTCTTTCCAATGGGTGGAGCTGTTCAGCGCCGTCGGCAAAAGTACATAATCGTGAAGAGTGTGCAACTTTGTCACCATGGGGTCTACGATTGCAGAACGTCACATCGCATCATCAACACAAGGTGCCTTGATGTCACATATAAAAACAGGTGCTCACGGCCGTATAAGCCGGGGTACCGGCTACAAACCACGCTTCTATTCAAGTTATGCTTCTACATCAACATCATCAGTGTACGCTGTGCAGTGTATACTGCCACGTATGTACTTTGCAGAGAGCGGCTTCTATTCAAATTGCGGTTCTGTGTCATGGCACGCTTCAAAAATATCAGCTTCTATTCGAGTCATGCTTCTATACACGACACTACAGTGTTTGCACCCTGTGTGTTTTCACGCCTTAGTGATCCACAGACAGTACTGGCTATAATGTCTAGTAAAGGAAGTGTTTGACATAGAGGTGTAGCAAGAAGGGCCTACGGGTGTGTGTGCGTGATCCCCGGTAACCTAATCGGTGGGGTACTGTCCCGGAAAGACAACAGGGGTGCTGGGTTCGAATCCCGCTCGTGCATCCTTCTTCTGCAACAGAGGTTACGCAAATGACTTTATGGGCGCTAAGTAAGCGTGTATATAGCGGAACCACACATGGGCACTGTGTGTGCAGCGCCAGTCGCTAGTGCAGCGCTGTGACACAACTTCGCCAAAGAAGCACTAGTACTCGTACCAGGGGCCTCGCACACGGTACGGTCACTACGGTATTGACCGTACCACTATTTGCCCCAGGTACCCCGTGATTCAATAAAATGCACTGATTTGGGCTCTAAATTCCCAAAATTTTCGGCTCAGCCACCCCTCCCCCACGAGTAAATTGTACTTCAGTTGGCTGACCGTACCGCACTATAATACCTTCCGACGCCCCTGAGCACATGTACACACTGAAACCAAGAGTCCATAACCCCCAGAGTGTGTAACGCGCGACAGGGTCTTGTCATGACTCGTTTTCAACATTACGTCATTTTCATGTACATTTTCATGTAGCGAATGTCGCGGCCTGCACGCGCAGCAGCTACATGAAAATGACGTAATGTTGAAAACCAGTCGTGACAGACATTTATGTGGCGTTGCACACTCTGGGGGTTGTGGACTCTTGCTGAAACCGGTAGGCCCCTAGCCAGCCAGCTCAGTGCTTGGGTGAGACATTCGTATCGGAGATTTGTTCATCTTGTGAATGTCCTAGCAGTGAGGTGCTATAATGTAGTACCCTACCTTGCTGGCTCTTCAGCCGCTGGCTGGAAGTGAGCGTAAGATTCGTTCCAGTGCGAGAACAGTTTGTTTGTGAAGGACGCATTGCCTGCTGTACTGATAATGAAGGTGATAAAGGCGGAGGTGAGGCACACGCAGCAGAATACCAACTCCAGGACGGAGAATGCCGTGCTGTTGCTGTGCAGTAGACAGTGAGTCGGGTGATGACATCGGTTGGCAGCACCGGCAATGTGAAAACGCATGCCCGAGTGCGTGCGTGTACACACACGTGCATGCACACACACACACACACACACACACACACACACACACACACACACACACACACACACACACACACACACACACACATAGACAGACAGACACGCACACACACACATAGACAGACAGACACGCACACAGACAGACGGACAGACAGACGGACACGCACATAGACAGACAAACAGACGGACAGACGAACAGACCGACAGACCGACCGACAGACAGACACACGCATGCATGAATGCGACATACATACAGACAGACAGGCATACATACAGACAGACCGACAGACTCAGATAATATACATGCATAGACGACTTTGAAAATACTGTCGTGGATACAGAATTCCAATAGGATGACCGGGGCCGGCGCCCTCACTGCTTTTAAGTGTTAGCATGTACATGCACTGTAGTTCACGCCCACACTGTAAAAATGGACCAGCAGTGCAGCAGTGCCAGTGCCCAGTGGCTGCAAGGCCAGCGTCCCGTGGCCGCTTGACTTCTCAACGGATTTCGACTCATGATGTCCCCTACAGTACAGTACATGTCAAGATTTAAGAATATTCTGCTGTTGCTATTGTCGCGTGAACGAGATGTAGTGATCAGACAGCGCATGGCATTGTACACACGCACCAAACGGACTACAGTACAGTGGGCTAACCCTGACATGCAGTAAGTAACTGTTTGCTAGTAATACTATTACTAGGTGAAAAACCACGATCGTTTCAGCCGATTCATTTTCTAGTCTTCTGCAATGCTACCACTGGCACAGACACATTACTCATTAGCACAAGCACAGTCGCTAGACAGCGGCTGCCCGTCGCTCTTACCTCGCTCTCCTTGTGCAGCACATTTTGACGGTGACCGTAAGAGCGAGGATGGCCGCTACACTGATCTGAATGCCAGCGGACAACAGGTTGAAGTCGCATAGCTGCGTAGGTCCGCCAGTTGGTAGCGCACCCATCGAATCCGGGCGACATGGGGTGATGTGCGCGGAGACGTCGCCGAATAGCAAACACGACGATTTCAGCCAGCACGAATTGACTTGGTGACGCGACTCTCCGACGCCATATGCTACCATAATACTTGCAATGGTCACTAGCACACAGCAAAAGCCTCGCCAGATTAGCGAGCACTTGCATCCGCGACCGCCGCATCGCTGCTTCTTCGACTTCTTCGACCTGCCCATCTTTTCTTCCAACTCCCACTACAAACAAACAGCCAGACTACTACTGGTCGCTGCGTAAACAAACTCCTTGCCACGTGCACTGCAGATCACAGCGGGCACGCTTTGCCAGAACAAACCAGTTTACCTGGGAGAGAGTACTGAGTAGGGCAAGAGAAAGAAAGGGGGAGTCGAAGACTGGCTGGGAAAGGGAGAGAGAGGGAGTCTAGCGCGTGAAAAGAGAAGTGTCAAAGTCCAAAGGGCAGCCGTCTGGCGCGCGCTGAGCCTGCGCTGTACTGTACTGACAAGATTGATCAGTGACAGTGCACTGTGTGGTTGTGAGCGGATGTCGTGATGAGGTTGAAACTGGGATCCCTGCATGCGCGTCTTGCACGTACATGTATACGCGTACATGTACAGTCAGTTCCGCTGCGTCTGCGTTCCACCACCACCACGACCACACGCTGCGCAAGCTGTCACTCAGCCAGCAGTCTGTCAAAAGCAGGCGTGCAGGCGTGATACTGCACTGTGATCATGGTGATACTGCTTTGTAACAAAAAAACCTGCCACACAAGGCTGCACTGATATGATTGTGGTACTAAACGGCGGCGGCAGTGCAAGGCCAAAACCACCAGGGCGTTCACCAATGACAGAGACTACCCTTCCCACTCTGAGATGTGTAGGTTCTACATTGTGCAGTCAGTATGTACATACATGTACATAATAATTATGACGGGCAAAATCAAAGCTCAAAAGAATATGCATCGTCTCGTGCATGCTCGTTTTATCCATCCGTGGTTTGTTCTGTTCGTGTACAATGATTGGTAGATCTGCGTACCATGTAGATCTACCAGTGGCGCCATGGCTGTGATGCCTGGAAAGGCTAGGCCTAGGCTAGGGCCTATGCCATGGCCCGGGCTGAACTGAGGTAGTGAGGAAGCACCGACCACGCCACTGCACTGATGCATGTTACAAACTTACATGCTCAACGGGACGGTGGTGCTAACGCCGCGGTTGTGCGCGCATTGCACATGCGCACAAAGTAACGTTAGTTACAAACGGAACGTCATACCATGCGCCAGCTTGTGACCAGTGAAGACTGTGATGCCAGTTATCATGGTTATAATTATTATCAAGAGTACATGATTGTACTCTTGGTAATGAAGCAAAGTGAAAGCATACAAAATGACAGAAACGAAAGTCGTTACTGTGTACAGTTGTATGTCATTCTGCCGGTACTGGCGGTAGGCCCGGTACACAGGTACATGTATACCACTTATTAGTGCCGAGGATTAAGCATTTAATGCTCGAAAAGGTGGCAGATTCTGCTCGAAAAGCAGTGAAATATTTAATTGGCAGAACCATACAATTTACAAACCTTATGGCGGGCAATTCCTCGAATTCTGCTCCATTTCTTTATCCACATACCAAACATGCATGAAACTTACCAGAAAAAGTACCGAACTCTGCCAATTTTTATGCCGGCATTATCCGCAAAGGCCTACCGACAACCACGGTCTGGGTGTGGGAGTACGGTCTGGGTAGTGGGTCTGGGAGTGATGGTAACAAGGTAACATGCTGATTGGATGCAGCTTACCAACTACAGTAAAACCTGTCAAGGCGAGCACCTGTACTAGAAGACCACTGAAACCCGGACCACGGCATGCTGTTTCCAGTCAGATGACCCTGGATAAGGAGACCACCTGGTAACAGAGACCACATTTTGAAGGTCCCCGTGTTGAGCGGTCGTCTTAGACGGATTTCACTGCACAAGGTTCACCTCCTTGTCCGCACTGGTTTTGAGACCATCTCGTCCTCGAGCCTCCCCTAGGCGCTGCATCTGACGCCTTGTCCTTGGAATGGGAATGGAGGTGGCCTGGCACAAGCAATGCTTCCTATATTAGACAGTTGAAGCCAGGGAGTAGTACCGTAGAATACCATTCATAATTATGGCATTGTACTACTCCCTGGTTGAAGGTGCTGGAGAGGTGATTCGTTGGCTGCAAAGGAGCCAGCAATGGCAGTGAAATCGGTTTAAAAACCGGAACGTGTACCTCTGACACAGCCAGTGAAGCAGAGGTATCACTAGCCGCCAGGATCTGGGATCGCCGAACCTCCAAACAGCTACCTACACTACAGCCTCGCAGACACACATAATGCAAGGCCCAAACTGGGCCAAGAAGCGAGAACGACAAGCCACAACTAATAGTATTTACTTTTAACTTACATCCAACGTGCAAGTAGGCCATGGCGTGACAATACCGGCATTGGTGGAAGCAGGGGGGTATCATAGTATTGTACTACTCCCTGGGTGGAAGTGTTGCAAAGCCGTCCACTAATCCAACCCCAGACTGGCGCAAGTCAAGAGAACTCGGCCCCTGGGCTGTATCACCATGATCACAGCTGCCGATATTATTTATTATTATTATTATTATTAACTTTTATTTTACTAGGATATCGCAGCATCGCTGCTATATCAGTCGACCCCACTGCATACATACAATAACAGTAGAGTCCCGCATCCAAGAACGTTGTTTCCAAGGGTTTAGCCAGTGGGGCATTCTTATTTTTCAGCAATATGGCTGCGTTCTCAAAGCACCGTGCCACGTTCAGCAACAATTCGTACTGGATCATATCAAACATATCCGGGGGTTATGTACTCTCGATCATATCCAGTATCCCAAAAGCTGCCCGAAAACCAACACCGCCGTTCTTGACTTTAGGCTGTGGTGTTCTTAGCATTTCAGGCTGGACGTTCTTGGGCTCAACGTTCTTATCCTGGGCGCGGGACTTTACTGCACTCTAATACTACAATACAGTACAGGGTATCAGTCGATTGACAACCACGCAGTGTGCTAGGTGGAGGCGGGGAGGAAGCGGCTCCCTCCTCCAGCTAGACAAACTGCACGACCAGAACTACTTACTTGGAAAAAGTTCACACCTCTGTCCTTGCAGGCATGCAGGCCGGAAATAGCGAAGACCAATCGCTCCTTGACGATGTTTGTTCCATGTAGATGCATGACATTGAGAGTACATGAAAACCGGTTTTCATGTACTCTTGATGATAACATAGAATGACTGTGCACTTTGTCTTATTCACTGCTATTGTTCAGTATTGTACTTTTATAGGCTGGAGCCGAGCTACAGCTGTAGGGGAATGGCGACGCCGATCGCGAGAAGACGATACAGTCATGTAGTAACGCCGGGATCGGGAGCGCGCTGACGTTCTTTATGTTGCTTTTTTGCTGGCGAGTGATGAAGTCATGTAGCTCGTTGGCAACGGTGGTCTGGTATCCAAATTAGGGTGGAGAATTGGACAAACTCCTAGCGGCTGACCAGTGCGTGCATGGTGAGTTGGCACGGATCTTTGTCATATCTGTAGGCTGTACTGCACTGTGCTGCCTGCTGGTGCATTGTAGTGTAGGACAGATTGTGGCAGATGGCCGCTGCATGATCAGTGCTATTGCTAAAGACAACCCTCCCAACCGACAACACCTCTCCCTACATACAGACAGTCCTGGTAGCTAGAGAAATCCAACGCCATGGAGCGCAGCTTGGGCACCACAATCACCACCAACACACGACTCTCTGCGCACTTGAGGGCGCTGCACATGCATATCCCAGGATGTCGCGGTTGTGCGATTAGAATGATATTGTTGACACTGTTTAGCTAAAAAAACTAGTGTCACCTATATCACACAGAGAAGACATAGAGGGGGTGTTAGTTGCAGCTGCTGTTTCATTCTCATGATGGTGAGTAGCCAATAACAGATATTTTGTTGTTGTATTGGTGGTTGGGGGGGGGGGGGGGGAGAGAGTATAATTTACATTCTGAAGCGATGACACGGAAATGATGCATATTGATACAGGCAGGAATATACAGGAGAATAGAGAATAATGAATAGCAATACAGCACAGAGACATACAAACACACACATACACACACAGACAGAGAGACGGACAGACAGACAGACAGACATACAAACACACACCATGTACCACACACACACACACACACACACACAGCGACAGCCAGCCAGCCAGCCAGACAGACACACATACAGCGGCACAGTTACTACGTATCACAAGTACACATGATACGCCGGAATAATTATAGTGATCAAGCATATCGACGTCCGGGCAAAATCAAGAAGCATGTAGGAAATGGACCCTCTACGTGATAAAAGTGGGGAAGGGGTCAGCGAGATGTTCATACGTGTATGCACACACACACACACACACACACACACACACACACACACACACACACACACACACCACACTTCGGCTCAAGAAATCTTGGTCCAGCAATGGCAAAAGCGTACTAGAACCCACTGAGCCGTTCGCGCATCTGCCAAGAGAGCGACCGCATTGCGATTCATATGAAAAAAGGACGTGACACTGGACCAGTCACAATTCGTTCCGCTCACAATCACTAATACCTATAACGGACGTGATATTGGAGCAGACAGTCACAATTCGTTCCACGGGAATGCCGTGCCATGGCACTGGACCCGGGACGGTCTCCATTGTGCATGCGTGTCAACTACACCTTGAGTGTGTGTGCATCACAGCCACGGTGTGTTACGGACGACGAAGGTCCACGGCAGCACACTTGCACAAACACACTTGCATGATATCCTATGCGCTACGATCATTGCTCTTCTCCAAGTCAAGCAGAGCTCACACACTCTCCTACGACTACTATAGACTAGTATAGTGTCTCGTACACGTGGCAACGGGATGGACGCTACACTGATGAAGGGCGGGCGGGCAGCTCAGAACTTGATTCGCTGCTCGGGCAGGACGAGCGATTGGTTAGCCTGTGCCGGTGTGGTCAGGACGACATTGATCGGCAGCGACATGAGCATGGTCTCGGTCTTGACTCTCTCCGGACAGCGCCAGACCTCGTCACGGTTCTCCGGCATGGCTCCCATAT